CAGCGGCGACATGGAGCGGAGTCCAGGCGTAGGTGTTCTCTGCAATCTCAAGGTCGGCTTTCTGTTCGTCGGTGCCGGCAATCAGCGACTTTGCAATTTCATCGTGGCCGAATCGGGCGGCAAGGTGCAGAGCGGTTTCACCCGTCTTATCCTGCCAGTTGATGTCGACTCCAGCTTCAACGAGCATCTCGACAATGACCTTGTAGTTGGACTTGGTGGCCATAGCGAGAACTGCACCAGATTTGGATACCGTTCGTCTCATCTCGGCCTTCCTGACACTCACACCCTGCCAGTTTTCGCCCTGAAGAAGGGCCTTGGTGGTCAGTGGATGTCCACCCACGACACTCAGGTGCAAAGGAGCATATCCCTCATTATCCTGCCACTCGGGGGCATCGATGCCATTCTCAACGTTGAATTGACCCCACTCCTGCATCTTGGCCATGATGACCTGGCACACGACGACGAAGCCGAAACGGGCGGCATAGTGAAGCGGCAGGCGTCCAAAGGAGTCTCTGGCGGTGAGCGCATCTCTGTGCTCAGGCTTGAGAGTGTCGAGTAGGTACATGAGAATCTGGACAGCCTCGTCATCTTTGCCGAGCAGCTTCGTCTCGTTTTGATTGAGTGCGCGGGGAACCACAGCCTGCGAGACTGCAGGCTGGAGGTCGTGAGAAGTGAACTGAGTGCCGATCGGGAAAGGATACGACTTCGGCTCATTGTCGGGATCAGACGACTTGGTTCTGCCAATGTGAATGACAAGTCGGTGAATGCAGTTGCGGTGGTTGATGTCCTCGGGCTCATAAATGGACGGCAGCTGCTCGATAAGATAGGCGATGCTCGCCTTGGATCTCGCAGCAATGGAACGCTGCAGGAGGTTGAGAAGCAAGCTCTGAGAAGACTGCTCACCCGTCACGTTGCCCTCGTCCAGTCCGGCCTTGAGTGAGTCGACATTGTCGTTACGGATGGCCTGCTCTAGAGTATCGAGTAGGTTTTGCGACAAAGTCAACATGGCCTTGGATGATGCGCGGCCTAGAGACCGCACTGACCTGTCTGACTTGGAGTCGTCAACGTTGCGGGCGTCACCCAGAGCGGAGATCCATTTGTTAATCTCAGTGAGGAGGCGTGTGCTCGTGGTGTCCTTAGCAAACGGCAAGGGGTCGACTTTTGTCGAGATGTATCGGTGCTGGGAAGCCGTCTCGGGGAGCTTCTTGTCGAGCTTCTTTGTGATTTTGACGAAGCCTCTGCGGTTGATCTCGGCGAACCAATTGAGGTTTCTCAGCATGATGCGCATCTCGTAGAGAGCGCCCATGAGCTCCTCGGTCTCATCCTCGTCGAGGTTGGAGACGACGTCGGGAACGCGGCCATAGCGGTCGCGCAACAGACTGAGACGGCGGACGGCCTCGCCAAGCTTGCGGTTGTAGAAAGAGTCGACGTCTTCGAGATTACGATCCAGGGCAAAGAAGAATTCTGCAAGATGTGGTCAGGGGATGGGCTGCGCCCTCACGGTCCGGTCCAAGTCCGCCCACCTGCAAGATCCACCGTCTCTCCGTTCTTGGCCGATTGCGCCGCGGCCTTGATCAACTTCTTCAGGCCCTTGTAATTGATGTAGAAGGCCGCCCACTCGGGGACTTGGTTGCGGGGGAGACTGCAGACAGCGTAAGCATAATTTTCCATGAAATAACAAGGCGGTCAGGTAAAGTAAAGGCAAGGCCAAAAATAGCAGAGATATCGGTTTCTGTCGGGTGAAGCGGCAAGGGTGAGAGAGAGGAATGGGGAGGAAGGCGCACTTTCTGCCGAACTTCATGCTGAAATGATGTCTGAGTCCGTTATCAGGGATTGGATGTGACGCTGTGGCGTCGGTTGGTAGTGATACTGTCTAGGCGATACAGCTTTTGAAAGAATGCTGCGGCAACAGATAAGGTGCTGACGAGAAAATAAGACGACAAGAGTGAATGATGATGCTAAACGGCTGCTTAGAGGCAGATAGACTCGCAGCCGCAATCACACATTCCCTCTTTTTCTCAGTTCTCGTAGGTGGTCGTGATTTTGGCTGGGGGATAAGTTGATGACGGTCGGAGGTTTGTTGTAAGAGGTGAGGTGAGGTGGTGAATGCGGTGAGTTGGAGAAGGTGCCAAAGACTTGAAGAAGAAACGAATCCACGTCAGTGTACCGGAGAAGACTTGAGTTACAGAAGGCACTATCCGCTTCTTCTTTGTCGCGACACGAAAAGAGAGGATCCAGAAGTCGAGGTCGCTCAGTCAGTCAGTCACGAGAGTCCCGTCGGTTTTTCCAGGTTCAAGGAGCTCCACATCCAGCTCGCCATTGACTGAAAAAGGGCGGAGAAGCAGTGACTGAGATGGCGTATCCCGTACGGTATTTGGTATTTGTCCAATGACTGGCTTACCGAATACACCTCTACAGAATCCAAAGGGAAGAAGAATGAGAAAAAAAGATCTGGGCCCCCTTTAGGAGAGCATCAGTGGGTTGGAGGGGGATTATGTATGAATGAACCAGAACTTCAGACCGACCGGCGCAAGGAGAGAGTGGATTGACAAGTGACGGAAGCATGCAACAGTACTTCCAGGTCTGCACCTCTGGTACCTCAGCACTTCACCTTACTGCAGCAGGGCCTAGCACGAGCAGGACACCAGGAGAAAAGAAGAGGTGTGGGAGGTGTGAGCTCATCTCAACCTCTACAGCGGCCGCATGGTATCCGGGGCCTTGGCACGCCGTACCTCTTTGTCGGTCGTCAGGTACCCCACACGCCAATTCGCGCTGTGGAGGGTACTGCCGAGCCCCGGCGCGACGACTCGAGACACGGTCGGGAGGTACCTGAGACACCCAAACCACCTTCCACCACCCAGCACCAGTCGCTTCTGAACGTGACGGCAGGCACGCAGGCACTCAGGCACAGCAAATGGCAATGGCAACCCAGCAAAAAAAACATACACAGTAAGGTTCCTTCCTGCCTCTGAAATGAGAGAAAGAACACTGTCCAAAACAGCTCGAGGTGTGGCGTTATCCGGTCGGTGAAGTCAGCCACTTGGAAGCCGCCGTTGACCGCCCATGGAGCGCCGCCCCTGTTTGATTCGCCAAGTCACGGGATGCTCGCCCCACCACGGCTTCAGCTGGCCGGCCTGTCCATGATCACCCCGCCGTTGATGTAGCACCAACACTGGCTATCCCGTCCTTTTCTCTTCTCTTCCGCTGCCTGTAAAAAGGTACAGTTGGGAAAGCTCACGTCACAGAGTGGAAGGAGGGATGAAAAGAGTCGCATGCTGACCTTGCTGGCTCAATTGATCATTTACACGTGTATGCCCTACCGACCGATGGTGGTGCACCGCAAGTGAGCCTGTACCGTTCACTAGTACCTAATAAACCAATTCTACTCACTTAGTGCACTGCACCGCGCTCCGCGCTCCCACCTCTCCGTAAGGTTAGGTACTTACTCCGTACTGTGTAGAGGTTGGCTCACTGGGCTGAAGGGCCTGAGGCGAGTCGGGGCCGCGTCCCGGGACACATCTCATCTCACATTCGAGCAGCCCTCCCGGCACGCCGGGTCAGATGGGCTGTCTAAAAATTCCAGACCGCCTCGCACGCTTGTCAGGTCGTCCGTCCTCATGACCTTTTCCACCCCCGGAGGACTCGCCGAAGGCGGGAAGGACCCTGGAACCGACATCGGTACCTGTCCGGTCAAACTGTACGTTTTGGCCGCCGTTGGAAGAAAAAAGTGCACCTGCATGCTTCTAAACATACGTCCATACCTTTTTGCGCGCGGGCTCTATTACTGTGCGTACCTATGTACGGGTACCCCTTGAGAGTCCTGACTCTTGCGCATACAAGTGACTGGTCCAAATTCATCGCGGCCCCAGGAATGACCTACACCAGACCCCACCCAGATCTGGTTCCGCGATGCATGTTCCAAGTTTTGGTTTTTTTTTAGGGGTCCTGTCACCTGGTCACTTTGGCCAGGGCAGGAGACCTCGGCATCCCGGCATCCATTCCTCTATTCATACAGTTTGCAAGATATTGGTTGATAATGAGAGGAATTGGGGGCCTCTTGCTTGATACCAATTCGGCTCTCACGGAGCTGCTAAGTCACTTTACTGCTGACTAGCCAAAAATTGCCAATGGCCTTTGCGGGTATAACGCCGATGGAACTCGAATGACGACTGACCAGCAAGGGCCCAACGGCGATCCACGGGGTAGGAGTTACAATGTCACATTGGACTGCTCATACATTCCTTTCCTTTAGCTTTGCGCCTGTGCGACCAACCTGGGGAAGACTCCTCATCCTTTTTGCGTGAATCAAGAGTTGACAACTTATTACCAAAAGAGTACGGAGTAATAGCGCAACGGCCAAATAGGACCCTTTTCACGCCCACCCCAACTAAATTAGACTCCAGTTCCTGGGATCAATGGCTTTTTTCACACTTGCAGCTCAAAGCGTATCTTGAACTGATATAGCCTTTTGCTTTCAAGTTCGTCCCTCTGACGAAGCCTCTACATCTCGGCGAATCAGTAGCCTCAACCAATCTCTAAATGAGGTAAAAAATACCTTTACTTGAACCCTCTTCCTACCCGATAGTTTCCCCTTCTGACTGTCACCCAAGGTCAGATCCAAACAAGCTTGCTTCACGTGTTGTATCCGTATTCCTCTTTTGTTCTGTCCCCCGCCTCAAATTATATTACAATGATATCACTCGTGACTACCCCAACAAAGTCAATCCCAGTTTGCCAAACGCTCGGGGCCGCAACCCTCTTCCCGCGCAGTGTCAAAGACTTGCGACCGACATGGTACGATCTCATTCCTTGGCACCCTTCAAAGTTCCCTTTTGGAGGCTCCCATGGCTCAGCTGTGGTAATTGGGTCTCAGCTGTCCAGGCACAGCAATGGTGGCGGCCGTGGAGGTGATGCTTTTGAGCCGTAGGGAACGAGGAGATCAATAGAAGCCGCACCAAGAATACAATACCTAACAAATACTCTTCCTTACCAGGCAGAAACTAAACCGGTTCGTTATCATAATCATAATCATCATCATCGTCGTCGTCGTCTAGCGGAACCCGACAAGCCCAGTATGGATTCGTCTCAGCCATCGTCGCAATGCCCTCCTGCGCATCATCCAACACCTGCGCCGCGTTCGGCATCTCAATCCACGACGGCCGCGCGTAAATACACTTGACCTCCATCTCATCGCCAGTGTGCTCGGGATTATCGTACACCGCCCGCGCCAGCTCCCGGATCTGCCTCTTGAGCCCGCACACCAGCGGCGACGCCGTCGCACGGTAGAGGAACCTTCTTTATATCAACGATGCAGTGCGGTCGTCCTTATTTGAATTGCTTGATATTTTGATGTACATGAGTCCCCTTCTATCAGGGGCATCTGACAGCTGGTTTTGGCCTAGGCCCTCTATTCTATCCATCAATTTGGCCTTGGCATATACGTGCCATATAACCATAATGTTACATGTGTGGTATAGTACATATCTACAGAATTTCAATCGTTTCGAAAACCTCGTCGATGGTGGTTTTGTTTTCGTGCTTCGTGTTCTTCGGTTTCGTCTCCGCCGCCTGTTCAAGGCGATCCCATGCGGACAATTGACCCTGATTCTCTGAAAGAGTGTTGCTTTTACTCATGGTTTTCTGCGCCAGCTGTGCTTCTGACGCTTCCTCCAGCCGGTTCCAAGCAGACCAGTCGACCTCTTCCTCCTGCGAGAAGGACGTCCCGGGCTGGTCTTCCGGAAGACCCTCGGGCACTGGCCAAACCAACTTCGTCGCTCTCCACATCCTGTACATCTGCGGAGAGCCCGAATCAATGCGAATGGTACTGGCGCTACCCGTTTTCACGCGCTGAACGTAGTCGCGCGCGCTTTTCAACAACCACTCCGTTTGGTGTACAGTGTGGGCTATTCGTGCGATATAAACTACACGTTTCTGCTCCTCGCTCGACACAATCGAGAACATGGGATCTTTCAGGAACGGTGCCACGCTGTTTGGCAAGCTGTGTTCCAAGCCGCAAATATCCAGTAGGCTCCGTATGCGCCGCGCAAGATATAGCTTGTCGTTCTCTCGAAAGAATGCTCGCTTGATCAGCGCGGGGTTGCTTTTCAGTATTTCCAAAAGCTTGGCTGCAGCTGTGCGATCTAGGGAGCGGGCGCAATAATCGAGCAGCTCGGAGGTCGTCCGCGAGCTAATCAGGAGGTCTGCCGTGATGCTCGCCGCAAATGCACCCACGGCAGCCCTCAGTCTGTCGAAAGCCAACATGCCTTCGATGATGGTGGCGAAGATTTTTTCATCAAAACGCGCCCTCTCGACGACGTAATGGGAGCCGACTGCGACATCTTTCGTTTTAGCCCAACCGTGAAGGGAGAAAAACTCCGCCACATCATCGTGCCTTTTTCTCCGGATTTTGACGCCTCGTTGGTCTTTGCCAGTCATGCGAGCGATGAAACCCGAAAAGTTGTCTGCGTCCTTTATCGTTCTGTAGTGATTCAGGATGCACACCAGGGTAAGCTGCGTGGGCTCAAGCTTGCCCTGGTAGAAAGAGAGGACCACTGCTGAAGCAAGGCGATGCATCCCAACTCTGTCCAGGCCCGCAATAAGATGGTTGTATGTGTGGATGGTAAGGGATGAAGGCGATACGAGGAGATTGTGACATACACTGTAAATCGTATGTTGAAAGTTCTCAGGAGTCGAGGCGTCAAAAACACTCCTCAACGCCTTGTTCAGCTCCCGGCTCCACGTGTTCAGAGCCTCGTTGCTCAGTTCGCTTTCATCCCAGATAGGGAACTTCTTCCGTATCAGCTTGTCTACCTCCTCTCGCGCCGTTTGCATTCCTTCGCGTCCAACCATAGATTCGCCTGCGTCGAGAAATCTGTAGACCAAAGCTTTCGTTGCCACCGCTGCCGCCTTGGCTTGCCTCGGCGTCCGCGGTGCGCGGTGCTCAATAGGCATCCACTCTTCTGTCGCGAGCTTCTTAATCAAGGCTTCGTAATTGACCCCTCTGACTTCGTTCGAAGGACTCAGCTCGTATATCTTCCATAAACGGTCCACGTCGGCCTTTGTCGCAACAGTTCTCTGCCACCTATATGAGGGCCCGAGGGCGTCGAGAATCTTGCTGACTTCGGGGTTTTGTGGAACGTGATCTTGTAATGCGCCCGGATACCGGTTGCCAACGTCACCAGCAGGTGGTTTCTTAGGAGCTTTCTCCTTTGCTTTTTCGACAAGATTTGCCAGCTCGCTCGAGACCTCTTCAATTTGTCGGTCCAAATCCTTTCGCCGCCTGTCTTTCCTCCCTGCATCCAGCATCGCAGCCGTTCCCATTATCGATGTGTAGCACGCCGTGAAGATCTCGCTAAAGGTCGGTTTTCGTTGCGTCGAGCGCGTCGCCGACTGCCGTATCATGCCCCCGGAGGCATTAAAGCAGGCCTTGCAGCCGCATCGGTGCGCCTGGCCCGCTCTAGACCAGATTGCCTGCATTCTGACGGCATGCCGGCTATTGTGGCAGCCTCTCCGAGTCGAATTGATGCGTTGACGTGCGACGAGGCGTCGAGGGTGGTTGAAATGGTCGGTACGTTCCAGGCGCGGAAATTATCGTCTGATGCACAATTACTGACGATCGACTTAGCTTGGCCGAGATGACGGGTCCAATTGACAATGGCCGATTGAAAATGTAGATAGACGTTATGCGATTAAGTGATTATTGCGGCTAAAAGGTGTACTCGCTTATAGAAATGGCACAGCTGCCCCTCCATGAGGTAACCCCACCATGACTTTACAGCGACCCTCGATCAGTTTTAGGTGTGAGAAACAATCAAACAACCACAATCCGAACGGCACTGAGCTCAGAAGGAAAGCCAAACTCACAATGTTCGCCCTTTATCTCACAGCCGAGCTCAACGGGTAAGTTTTAATGGTTCCGAGGTCTTGAACACGACATCTTACTCTCCACAGAGTCACGAATCTCCGCCCCGATGATAGCGAGAGTAACCCCTTCTGGTACACCTTCAAAGTTCAGTGCACATCCTGTCGCGAAGTTCATGACAAGACCGTCGGCGTCAACCGCTTTGTGAGTTTCTCCCCTGGTCATAAGGCTTTCGGACAGTCCACTCATCTGCTGCGCAATCCAGGACGAAAATGAAATGAGCGGCAGCAGAGGCGAGGCCAACTTCGTCTGGAAGTGCAAGAACTGCAAGCGCGAGTCTTCCGCTTCCGTAAAGGCCGCCCCAGCTTCGTATGAACAAGGCGAGCCGGCGAAGCAGCAAAAGATTCTCGAGTTCGACTGCCGTGGACTCGAGTTTACCGAGTTCATACCCGAAGGCGAGTGGCTCGCCGAGGGCATTGATTCAAACAGCAAGTTCTCTGCTATTGAGCTCACGGACGGCGAGTGGTATGACTACGACGAGAAGGCAGGAGAGGAAGTGAGTATCAAGGATCTAAAGTGGGAAGTCAAGCGTGCTTAAAGGGGTTTGATGAGGGTTCGGTTTACGGAGTACCCTAGTACATCGCGTGGCGTCTGGTGTGACTTGGGGTTCAATGCGATATGGCGGATGTGGGACAAAAGCAAACGGCATGAGATTTTTGGCATTCATAAGCCCTTTGGTCATTATCGAGACATATCGCCTGCATTAGCACGGACGAGGCAATGTTTACAGCACCCAACGTGTGGTCCAGCTTTCCTAGGTTCAGAATGTATGGGTATTGAACATCTCTATGCCTAATCTACAAGAAGGTCTTCCCCTGCCCTCTATTCCATGCATGACATCGTCAAATACGTCAAAAGTAACCAGCCCGTCCTCTCTCATCCCGACGTTCCTCTCCACGTTCTTCGAGGCCGAGCCAGCTTCGAGATTCTAATCTCGTTTCCTTTCCTTCGTGATCGTTCCGAGCAAACGAGCGAGTCACTCCTCATATTTTTTTGGATGCAAGCGAGCCAAAGACAAGCTGTTATCCGCGGAGTACTCAGTGCTCATGCCCAGAAATCACGATATAACCCAGGCAATGGGCTAGGCAAAAATCCAGACGTGGGTTATGCCATGTTCAAGCGTGTTGCTCTTGACAGCAAAAATGTTCCGTCTGCAGCAAAAGAAGAACTATCTCTCATCACTGTGCGTATTTTCGATGCACGACAGTGATGCCCGGGTGTTTAGCTCCCAAGACGGTTCTGTGTACTAAGACGAATGTAAGGCTCATCGTGATACTCGGAGCCTCGCCGCTTGATTCCGAGCGGCCGGTAGTTGGAGACGTGATTTCGGCAAGGACCACGTTGGAACCTCAGGACAAAACCCCGACGGTGTTCCAAACGCATCCCCAGCACAGTTCCGTCTCCCATGTACAGATCAGCGAGCCCAATCAGAGGAAGTAGTCGCCCGGTCCGCGGCGGTTGGCAGGGACATGGCGTTGTTCGTCGGGGACTGCCGAGAAAATGCTGAACTTGGGGTTCATATCCTTGTCGACGGTCATGATGGACGCAACATTACCGCAGCGGTAGCAGTAGTTCGGAGCCGACCACACGGTGACGACAGAGTTCTGCGGGAAGTGATACTATTTTGCGTTAGCATAAACCCAGTAATGCGGACTGACGATAGGCACTGACCTTGTAACCCTCATTGACAAGCTGGTGAGCTCTAGCGATGAGCTTAAGACCGTTCACGTGGTTGAACTCGGTTGCAACCTTGTCGCCAAAGAGCCAGCCGGCGCCGCGAGGGCTGATAGCCCAAGTCTCGACGTCTTCGGGGTCGGACCAAACAAGATCGCAGAAAGCGCCCTCGTGAGGGATCTCCTGCGCACGAGCAACAACTCGGATCTGGTCGATGGTGCGGATCTCCGGACTGAGACCACCATGGACGCAGAGAAGCTCTCCATCGACAATAGCAGCGAGAACGAGGAAGTCGAAGACATGGCAGCACGCCTTCCACACGGAAGCGTTACCGTACTTTTGCTGGCACTCCTCGTAAAATCCGTACACCTGGGTGATTTGACGGGACTCGTGGTTGCCACGAACAAGGACGATTCTGTCGGGGTATCTGAGAAAGATTAGCACGATAGTGCAACTGACAGCAAAAGTTACCTACTTGGCCTTCAAGCACATGAGGAGAGTAAAAGTCTCCAGACTGAAGTAGCCACGATCGACGAAGTCGCCCAAGAAGATGAAGCGGGTATCGGCAGACTGCGATGTGGTGGAGACCTCAACGGCGGAGTCGGCTCGGGAAGTCGCGCTGGTATCAGCAGCCGCGGCGTCGTCCTCATCGTCTTCATCAGCAGGGGGGCTGCCAGCATTGCGAACCTTCTTTTTGAGCTTCGGGTTCGTAATCTCGGTAGGAGGCTCAATGTCCTCGGGGCTGATGACCGTGGTGGCAGTCTTGGGGGCCTCCACATTCGACTCGCCAGGCATTCCGCCCGCAACACGGAAGAGCTCCAGCAGATCGTAGAATTGGCCATGGATGTCACCGCAAATTGTGACCGGGGTGCACACAGGCTGAATATTGGATTCTAGTTTCCACAAGTCAGCACAAGGTTAGAGAAGAGAGGATTGTAGTATTCCTCACCCTCCATGAGCACCTCCTTTACAAGCTCGCACAGCTCTTTCATGGCGCGCTCGGGCAAGTAGTGACACTGCTTGGCTTCCTCCAGCCACTCGTCTAAGCCTGCATTGGGGGAGAGTTTGGCGGGGCCGGGTCGGGGGATGTGGCTCGCCATTTTTTCGAGTATTTGGGTATGCACCTGAGATGTTATCTCGATGTCGTACGGGTTGAAGTCTTCGGAAATGTTTGGATTGAACTCGGTGTAATACACAGCCAAGTCGTCGTCGATATCGTCGGACTCGTAGTAGCTCGGATCGAAATCCTCTGGGAAGTCGTCGAGATCAAGACTTCCGCCGCGGAGCGAAACGTGCGATGAATCGTTGGACTGTTGAATGGACCGACCAATCTGTGCGGTGCGGATACCGGGCTCCTCAGAGCATTCGAGTTCCTCGTATTCGGTCGATGGCTCCTCCTGGATGGTCTCAGGGGGAGGTTGATTTTGATTCGGGCCAGGGAAAGCGAGAGAAGAGGCGTTCGACGGTGTTGAGAATGATGCAGACCTGGCACGGCGACGTGAGGGCGTTGGAAAAGGCTCCTGCTGATTCAAGGCGACCGGGTGTGACTGCAAAGGCGAAGCGTGCGGTGGAGCACTGTTCTGAGCGGGGAGCGTCGGAGGGGTATTATGGGCAGCACGGCTGGGTGCGGCTGCTGGGGACTGCTGGGCAGTGCTAGCAGGGGGGAGCTCTGGTAGAGGACGAGGGTTCTGTGAGTTCCAGGTGCTTTCGGGTAGTGAATTTTGCAAGAATGATTCGAGTGTCCGCTGGTCATGGGCTTTGCGACGCAGAACTCGCTGGTTGTACTCGTCGAGCGGGTTATCGAAACCTCCAACTACAACGGGACGGCCTGAATTGGGGTCTCTGAGTTGTCGGCGCGGCGGACTGTTAAGAGGGGGGAGGGTGGGGATGTAGCCAGAACGACCAGGGACTGGAATTCCACGACCGCGGACGGACGCTGGGGTAGCACGTTCAGATGCGACAGGCACCTGCTGAGGATCGGGAGGATGATGCGCTCCGAAGTTGATGGGAGTCGCGCCCGGTGGAACTGACGGAACTTGAAAAGATACTGCTGCGCTGCGGTTGCGAGCACGGTCACCAGTCGGTCTGCTCCGTCTGACAGTGTTGGTAAGCGGATTACTCTGATAGCTGTTTGCTCGCCGGATGGCCGCTTCGATCTCTTGCGCAGTCGGCTCTCTGTACTCAGAACTCGTCGCAGCTTCCCGTGGATGACTTCCTTCCGTAACTTGGGCAGGTGAAGCTATTTTCAACTGTTTGAAATCCGGAAAGGTCTCCGGGTAGACGTCGGTATCCTCGGTTTCTTTGTCCTTGATGTTCGAGGTACCACCTTCTTTCTCTTGACCTGCCATCTTGATGGCTAGTGGGTGCTGGGTGAACCTCGGAATGGTTGGTTGATCGGAATATTGTTTGACCGAAGGTGCTCTGTGAGAGGTTGTGTTTTTGCCGAGGTTTTTCCGAGAAGAGGTTTATGGGGCTGTGTGAGATGAGGAGTGGATGGACAGCCCTTGGGCCCCACCCAGACAAAGCTATCCAAAAAGGGCTAGTGCAGGTGATAAGATAAGGTCCACATGAGGCAGTGGCACATTGTGAGCCATTCTTTCAGATCTGAGGTTAAGGTGAACCCAAAGCCCCGCGTCACTACCCTGCCATCACATCACCTTTTGACATCTGAGCCAGGTCTTGCACACACCTTCTTGGACCCTTGCGCAGCGCACTTCGTCTTTCGGAACACTCCCACTACACATTTTCCAATGTTTCTTGCACAGCTTATCACCAGGCCACAAGATAAGAAACAATAACCAAACAAAACAGCATAGCCATCCTATATCAGGTATCGATCCCGAGCATACGAATACAAGGCTATCTATTTCATAATGGCAAC